TCTTGCCTTCCTTCCTCCCTCCCTCTCTCCCTCCCTCCCATCTCGCTTTCCTTCCTTCTTCCCTCCCTCCCTCCTCCCTCCCATCTCACCTTCCTCCCTCCCTTCCTCGCTCATATCTTGCCTTCCTTCCTTCCTTCCCTTCCTCCCTCCCTCCCTCCCTCCCTCTTGCCATACTGAGCTCTGAATCCGAACCCGTGCAGTGGGGGACACTTTCTGAGGACCTGTTTGAAGGGTTTGAATAAACACCTGCAGAACTCTTGCTGGGCGCACGGGCGCGTTCCCCTCAATGGTTCATCTTGCTGAACAGTCTCATTGGCTTCAAGCCACCATCTGCCACCTTGTAGCCACCTAGAGCAGAAAGTTCCCTCCCCCCCAACACCCTGCAGCCCTGATCTATATAACTATGGTTTTTCCAACTGTTGTTTGATTAGAGACTATCAGAGCTGCCTGCTTTAGAAGCTGGCTGGGGTCACCAGCCAAGGTCAGGAGCTAAGCAGGAGCAGATGGATTTTTTTAACGATCAAAGACCCTTTAATCCATACATGAGTTTCGATGAAATGGAGAAAGGAAAGGAAAGGGAGGCCATTTTTGTTTTGCAAATGGGCTCAGAGCACTCAGTGGGGCCCCCGCTGCCCAGCCACAGATCTCTCTGCCAGGTCTCTGCAATTTTGTTTTCCTCCTCCCGTCTGCTCCATCCCATAAGGTAGATAAATAGATAGATAATCTTTATTGTTATTTTTTTTTTACTGTAGGCACATTGGCAAACGTTAAAAATGAAATCCTGTTGCCTGCTCTCAAGTGTACACATCCATAACATATATTTAAACATGCTTCATGCAGCCTATGTATAAACCTACACCCTTATATATAAATAACATATAAATATCATGTGAAGTATTAATACCACTTTACAATGCCTTGGTAAGGCCACACTTGGAATACTGCATCCAGTTTTGGTCACCACGATGTAAAAAAGATGCTGAGACTCTAGAAAAGAGTGTAGAGAAGAGCAACAAAGATGATTAGGGGACTGGAGGCTAAAGCATATAAGGAACGGCTGCTGGAATTGGGTATGTCTAGTTTAATGAAGAGAAGGACGAGGGGGGACAGGATAGCAGTGTTCTAGTATCTCAGGGGCTGCCCCAAAGAAGAGGGAGTCAAGCTATTCTCCAAAGCACCTGAAGGCAGGACAAGAAGCAACGGGTGGAAACTAATCAAGGAGAGAAGCAACCTAGAACTAAGGAGAAACTTCCTGACAATGAGAACAATTAACCAGTGGAACAACCTGCCTCCAGAAGCGGTGAATGCATCAACACTGGAAGTTTTTAAGAAGAGACTGGACAGCCATTTGTCTGAAATGGTATAGGGTTTCCTGCCTGAGCAGGGGGTTGGACTAGAGGACCTCCAAGGTCCCTTCCAACTTTATTATTATTATTATTATTATTATTATTATTATTATTATTATTATTATTATTATTATTATTATTATTAATAATAATCACTGTCCATCTTGAGCACATAGTGGAAAGAAGAAGGTTTGGAGTTCAGAAGATTGATACTGTATGGAACAAAACTGTGACGGAATCTGGATGTTCTGCTTCGGATACCACGAAGCCCCCCCCCCCTCCCCAGAAGGTAACAAGGAAAACGGGTCGTGAAGAGGATGGGTAGCGTCCCAGACAATCCTGCAGACCCTGCTCAAACATCGCTTCTGTGCTATGTCCTGGAAGGGAGGGAGGGAGCTGCCAATGATCTTTTCTGCCGTCCTCACCACTCTCTGCACCGCCTTCCTGTCCGAAGCAGGGATGCTTCCAAACCAGACTGTGATGCCGTATGACAGGAGGCTCTCGATCGTCCCTCTGTAGAAAGTGGTAAGGACAGGGGAAGGAAGATGTGCTTTTCTCACACATTTCTTACACCAGATCACCAAACCCTCAACCTCCTTGCGGTAAGCACCCTTGTTGTCATCTTGAATAAGGCCCACTGCTGTTGTATCATCCGCCTACTTCACCCTGTGGTTGGTGGCAAACCTAACACAACAGTCATGGATCCACAGGGTGAACAGCAGCCGGCTTAGGACGCAGCCCTGAGGAGAACCGGTGCTCAAGCAATACTTGTTCCAGCCCGCGCATACTGGGGCCTGTTAGTAAGAAGATCAAGACTCCAGTTGCACAAACGAGTGTTTAAGCCTAAAAGGCCCGGTTTGTCTACTAGATGCTGGGGAATGATTGTATTAAATGCCGAACTGAAGTCAACGAACCACAGACGCATATGGGTGTTTATTTCCTCGAAGTGCTCCAAGCTCAGATGGAGAACAAGAAATAAATCCAAGGTCTGCTGAGAAGATTGCCCCTCCTGCAAAGTACTGGTTGACGGAAACGCTGCTGCCTCCCAAAGAGGAGTTGAGGTGCCCTTTGTTGTGTCTGCTCAGCTCCTTCCCACGGATTTGTGGATTTAAGTTCACAGAGGATAGCCAGGTCTCTTTCCACACTATTAGGACCAACAGCTAGATACAACCTTCCTTTAAGGAGCTGAGGACTTTCTCTCATTCTCTCACTCTCTTTCGCTCCTTTTATCTCCCTTTCTTCTCCCTCCCACTCTCCCACTCCCTTGCTCTCTCACCCTTTCCCTCCCTCCCTTTCTCTCCCTCTCCCTTTCCCTCTTTCTCCTTCTCCCTCTGCCTTTTCCTCTTTTCCCTTCTCTCTTTCCCTCTCTCCCTTTCCTCTCCCCCTCTCTCTCCTTTCCTTTCCCTCCCTCTCTCCTTTTCCCTCCTCCCTCTCCTTTTCCCTCCCTCCCTTCCTTTCCCTCTTTGTCTCTCCTTCTCCTGCTGCCTTTTCCTCTTTCCCCCTCTCCCTTTCCTTCCCTCCCTCTCTCCCTCCTTCCCATCTCCCTTTCCCTCTCCCCCGATCTCTCCCTCCTTCCCTTTCTCTCCCTCTCTCCTTTTCCCTCCCTCCCTTTCTCTCCTTTTC